CCTGCTGAAGAACACACAGAAAATCTGCAGGAACCCACCTTCCCATGCTCTTTATTATTGAGAGACAGCCTTATATAAGATAGTATTTTTCAGCAAATATTAGGAAATAGTCATTTATACTAGGAACCAATATTTGCAGCATATAGAATGAATTCTCTGCTACTGCCACTAAGTATTTTCATCTGAACTAGAAAATAACAGTAACCTGCAAGGTAAGAAGGCATTCTTGACAGAAAGCAATGGCTGTCAAGGTGCTCTGGAAAGCTGAAATGCTCTGATTTCACACAAATTCAGTTGCAAGTGAATCAAATTTACCTTCTTTTTCCTTGAGGGTATTTAAATAGGAGAGTAGATTTTCATTAGCTTGCACACAGTACGTTTCCCGGGTTTGAATGCCACCTCCACACAGCGCCGTCTGATTTCCTCGCCTCTTGTCCTGTTGGCTAAGGAGAGGATCAACACGGCATTCTGTCCACTCTGTGGTCCGCCAACCATACCTGGATCAAATTTGGTTAATTGGGTCTTTACAAATCATAAAATCATTTCACACAGCACCAAGTTATACAACCTGAAATACCTTAATAGCTTTATTCATTTTCTAAAAAGTACAATTTCTTGTACACAAAGATGTGTTAAGTCTGATATTCTTATGTGGGTGGAAACTTTTCCTCTGTTATTTCACTTTTGAAAACACTACTTTTTAAGATGATCTTTTCTGTTCAATTCCTGAAACATACTGCACATATAAATATTTTATTGGAGGGAAGAAAAACTTGATATACAGAGACATATATTCTGTGTTCAGATAAGCAAACTTTAAAGATTGTGGCTCTCAACATTTGTTTAGAGATAGACAATTTATATAAACCAAACTATCAAAGAAATGTGCATGCTGAGAAACATGAGCCAGAAAAGGAGAGAGGGGAAAAAAACCGACCACCCAACCCTCCAAAAACAAACCAGAAATTCTTGTTCATCTTTGATAAGAGAGACAGAAGTTACTCCTGAATATTTAGTATAATTGTGGTTTTTTATTATTACTTCAGAAAAGCCTTTCAGCAAGTTCCTTTTTCACCATCAAGAGGAAGATGGCTCTGCAGTACTGAAGCATCCCTGCTGGGTACTGATGAATGATGAGAAGCTGTGAGCTTTCTAATCAGTGAATGCACAGGAAAGAAGATCTGTGACTCCCAGTTAAAACCCCAGTCAGGATTACGAGCCATGAGAAATGCCACAGAATTCTCTACCCAACAAGTACTTTAAGACTAAATCAAGTGAAATGTTTTCTAATGTTAGACGACATTTCAAATCTTAAATGAAAAATATGTACCGCAGTCAAAGATGCTTAGCATCAAGTGACATCTCCCCAGACCCTCTTCTCAGTCTGATAAAGAAAAAGCACAGTTGGGACTCTAATATTAATCTTGATTAGCTGATAAGGATTACAGCAGCCTCTTGAATCATAAAGTGCTTGCTATCATTTCTCCTGAACTTTAAACAGGTTTTGTTTGTTTATTTATTTACTGCCACTGTTATCCTCTCTGATCCACTGGGGGCCCAGTCCCGCCTTTGCTGTGATGAATACAAGTCTCACTAAAAAAGGCTGTTTGCTAAACAGATGTTTATGACCTCTTTGTTATGTTCAGCATTTTGTCTAACAGACAAGTACTTCAGAAAACAATGATTCTGGTAGAGATGTTATGTAGGGAAAAGATCACTGACAAATTAATACAATTTATTATGGTCTGGACTGTGCTTGCATATGCACAAATATTCTCTTTTAAAAGTTAACAATAATGAAAAGATTATGTATTTGGTATTTTTCCTGTGTTTAGAAGAGGAAGTGATTTCACTATAAGGACAGCTATGTGCAGACTTCAGGCTTTTAAGAAAAGCACTGAAAAAGCAAAGGATTTAAAAAAATAAAATCAAACCTATTATTTCCTTAATAATTATTTGGTCGGTATTCCATTACCAGCCCTGTATGCTTAATTGAAATTCTTCATTTTAGTATAATGAGAACTGAAATGAACCAACTTACGTAATGCACGGTGCCACACCATCTCCTTGAGAAACACAGTGCTCTGTTTCTTCTAATTGTGGGCATTCGCTTTCACTGCCAATAGGGAGCTGTTTAATGGTCCGTGCTCTCGTACGATTCCCTTTGGGGGTTGTCATGTCAAAGCAGGTTTTGGAGCAGGGGGTCCATTCTGACCACTCTGACACCTGGCACTCCTTCGTGATCACGCAGGACTGGAACGTAATGGGCAACTTCTCTTGTTTGCAAAAGCTGTAATAAGAGAGCGTTACGATTTTCAGGACACATATTCACAGTCATGAACTCCTACGGAAAAGTGCTGTCCATTGCAACATGCAAAAATCAGTAAATATTTGTAAAACTGTTAAGTTCCAGTCCACATGTATTTGATCCCAAAAAGTTGGGCAAAAGGACTTCTGGTCAAACTGACTCAAACCACATACATAAGATTTGCTGTAGTTAGAAGTGACCAGTATTGCCCTATCTGTGATCAAAATTAAAACAGAAGTACAAAGAGGCAATTACATGAAATTTTCACTGCTTATTTTTTATTTTTAGGTATTATTTAGGAATATTAGGAATTATTTTTCTTGAAAGAAAAAGAAAGTGAAGGATCAATAACAGAGACGGCTGTACAACATTTTAGAAGAGAATCATGTGCTCAGTGTCATCTTCTCCTGATTTCCAGACAATAAATTGTTTAAAAACACAGTATCAAATATATTGAATACTTGGTCACTAGTTATTTGCTTTGTTAACAGCTGGTATATTGCCACAGTGATGTCTCATGATCTGAAAGGGGAACAATCCCTCCCTTAAAATAGAGCCTTCCCTGCTGAAGTGAAACCATAGCCTTAATTTCCTGTTCCCCATGAAGGCCATCATTTCATTTCCATTCTCCATCTGATTGCTTGATTCGCATATCACATAGGTTGTCAGCAAAATTTTCTCCCTCTAAATGCCTCTGCATTTTTAAATGTTACGTTCTAATGAGAAACTAACTTATTTCTACTTTAAAGCCTGATTCACAACAAGAAAATGAGTAATAGCAAAGCTAAAATACAATTAAAGTGATCATAACTTTAAATCCTTAATTATAATTACAACAAAAATATATTTATCCTGGCTGTTCTGGAATCAAATTCTGGCTTCTGAAGTAGTTAACAGGCAGGGAAAAGTTTTATCTGCACTGCAGGTGGCACAATGAAAGCTCTGTTCAGTACCAGTCCTATAAACAACACAACAAAGGCTCATTTTTTTTTCCTTTTAACGGAATAGAAAATAATACAGAATAATGAATATTTACAACAATTTTTTTGCTATACAAAACTTTGCCATACCTATATATCCAACATCATGTTGAACTGCTATTAAAAATTTTTGTAATACTAGAACTAGGGATACTTGAATGAGACTAATAGGAGATTTGAAAACACTATAAATGGAAGTACTTTTATGTACAAGAGGCAGAGCAATGCTACACCTTCCTAACAAAAGACCTTGGCTGCAGAGACAGACAGTGGCAGTGTGTTCATAAAGAGGCTTGATGAATTTGTGGACAATAGGCCTACATATGGATACTAAAAAGACTAGGGAAATGCTACACTTGCCACCATCCCTAAAATACTCTCTTTGGGTACTGCAGGAATACAAAGGGAATGGGCTGCAAAAGGCAGCCAGGGCTCATATGGTTGGTCTCTAAATAGCATCTCCCTTCACCATTGCTGCAGGCAATGGGGTGGAGGCACCGCTGGGCTTCACAGTCCATAGGGGATTACTCAGTAGGGGATTCCTTATGTTCTTATTATGTGGGGGGAAAAAAACCCCTAACACATGATAGACACCATTTTTTCTGCTTAAAGACAGAAACTACACCCTGTTTGGGGTGAAAGACACTAATCTTTTGAGAAAATTCTTCTTTGATAATGGACTTCATACACCTTCATCTAGCCCCATCTGGCATAGGACTACTGTCAAATCCAATATAGCAGTTCCTGTACCTTTGACAAAACATACAGACTCATTTTTCCCACAAAGACACACATTTTAATGACTGGAGAAAAGATCTATTCCTTATGGATTCTAACATGGGCAGTATTTGCAAATCCTTCTGGAGAACAGATGACATATCATCACCTCCCAAGGTCCTTTCCAATGTGACTCCTTTGAGAGAAGACAAAAGCAGCCTCTTCACTCCTACTGTGACTGGGGCTGAGTTTAATTATAGATACATATTGCCAGGGAACATGCACAAAATTGCCACCACAAAGTAGCTTTGGTGCAGAGTTAAGAGATCAATTAGTGATGTGTAATACTCCATGGGCTTTGAATCTGCTTCAAAACTTATTTTGGAGAAATGTTACATGAGAAAGACTAGTATTCATTTTCAGAAGTTGTTTTTTCTAAATAAATAAATAAATAAATAAATTTCCTTCATTGACACTACCTTCAACCTGCCTGTGTCCCCTGTCACAAACCCTAAAGGTGACCCTGGCTGTGACTGGCTGTGATTCCTACACAGTTTCATGCAGAGATTGTTTGCTTCCCTGATAAGGGAAACCTTCACCACAACACGAAGAGTTAAAGTTTCGTAGAATGACTGATGCATAGGAGAAACGAGACCTTGAGCTGCAATCGAGCTCAAAACTAATGCACTTATGAGTTTTCAAAAAAATAATATTCTGAGCTAGTTAAATTCAAAAGGAATTTTTATCACAGATTTTCTGAACAAAGTAGAAAAAGCTGACAAAATCAAGTCAGTGTACTGAGGAAAAATGTTTTCACATAACCATAAATGAAAAAAAAAACAGTTTAGCTGAAAGTTGTCTATCAACTCCACTTAAAAACTAAGGCCAGCCCTGCAAACTAATGATATCTATCAATTTTTAGAGGATATAGTCATTTCCTGAAAGATTACTATAGGTCTCGGGCCCTTTTCAGTTTCCAAGTGCTACTAGATCATTCAAAAAGAATTCAACATAAGCATTACTGCAACTTCAGACAAAAAAATTTCATTTCACAGATCCTTAAACTGTAATTGCTATATATGCAAAAAGACCTCCTGAAGTTTGTCACTTTTCAGTACCCCTGTAATCTTGAATGCCATGATGCTGAAGTCCCTCTGTGAATCATGATGAAAAATATTTTTAAAAATTTACACCTAGATTTGTTCACAGGACTCTGATGAAGAGTTATTTGGTCAGTGGCATAGATTCAGTAGGCTAGTACCTTGCACTTCATGCTCACTTTATTTTTTATTAAAAGCTGCTGTTGATATAGCTTATATAATTAGAATGATAATTTTATCTTGTTTGTTATGAATTATTTCCATATGCAGGTATGAAGGGGACCCAAAGAGAATTGTACCATGTCACTAACCCCATTGTTTATTTATGATCTTTGGGAGAAGAAAACCAATAGAGTTAAAGCATGCCTCACTTAAAATATTTACTTATAAAACTACTAAATTTAAAATTAAATATAAACCAATCAAGATCTTAAGTTCTTCTAACCAGAACATAACTATTACTAGGGAGAGAAACAAGAGACAAAGTGAGTTATCCATTTATTTTCTTGCTTGCTTATTAAAACCACACACCACTTGCAGTAATATGTAAATACCAACAAGTAACAGATATCGTTGTAAGTCACCAGCAAACAATCTCTTCACTGTTATACATACTGTCATATTATTTTTGTGAGAGGGCAGAGACAGTTGCAACTAGAAAAAGAAGTGTCAGATAAGCAAATTAGCTGGTTTCTTCTTCTAACACTTGTTTGAACAAGTTAGAGAAACTGTGAAAGTTAATTGCAAATGGTCGTTATCAAGAGTTTTCCTTCATGTTGCATGCAGCAGAAGAAGGAATACTGGATTGCAAGACCTGCAACTCTTAGTATTGCATTCTAGATCAAGTAGGGACTACAGAAACATCAAATTTAAACTCTCAGTATCACAAATCTCTGTAAACAAGACTGAGTTACAACTCTTTAGTTAAGTATATGATTGTTGAAGTACTTCAATCTCTTTGGAGGTAATACAGTATTTTCCAGAGCAGATTACAGATCTTTTCCCTCACTACCACCTTTCCCTGTCCCGAGTGCATGTATACCTATTACGTGCAACTAAACTAATCTACACTTAATTTCATGTTGCATCTCCACATATCCCTCTTTCCTGGGAAATTTGGGAACAATAAATTTGATGTTCCAAAGTCCCCTCTCAAAGATCTTTTTTCTTCTTCTTTTTTGACTCTTCACACCTTCAAAATATTTGGAAAAGATTTTCAAACTTTATCTTACCAAAAGTAACAGATATTTCTCGTACCTTTCAGTGCAGATGACTACATATAGACAGACTTTCATAACTAAACTTACTAATACTGTATTGTATAAAGATGCTAACTCTGAAAGATACATGTGCCATTTAAAAAGTTCAGCATATATAATACATTAGCTGAAAAGGTTGGTCACATTTCCTTTAAATATCTGATCCAAGAAACTGCACAGATTGATTCTTAATCAAGATCTGGGAACGTCATTGTTACAGAAAATAGTGTCTTCTGGGTTTGGTACCTAATGTTATAGATTTGACCTCCACAAATAATTTAAAGCAAAGCTTAGTTTCATGCAGATCACTCTGCAGTTTCTGATATATTTATGTGACTGGTTTAGTTACCCAAAGTTGGATGAATCTTCTCACAGGAGAAAAAGCAAATGGGTAGGAAACAGATCAGAAAATAAAAACAGATAGTTAACATTCATTTCATGATACCACCTAAATCACTAGAAGTTTTGCATCAAACATCTCCATGCTCTGTGTACTTTCAGTAACACCTAAGCATACACTATATGCAAAGTTAGCCATTCAAAAAGTGCAGGGAGTGCACAAATAAGTCCTCACTATCAACCCATACAGTTCTGTCCAGATAATTGCTTGTGAAACTCAAAGAAAATTACATGAACTGCATTAAAATGCTGTTATAAGTCAACAGAGCAGACTGGATACAACAAGAGGTAGCATAGGGCTAACATGGATAGTCCACAGGAACTTGCTCTCAACCCAGTGAATACATTCATAGAATCATATAATTCTTTAGGTTGGAAAAAACCTTAAGATCATGAAGTCCAATTGTTATTCAAAGGACAGTGTCCTAAGTGTCTGCCTTTTGGCAGGGAAGAGGACATTATAAAATATGAAGTAAAGCTGTGGTTTGAGACAAGGTCTTCAGGCAAAAGGTATAGTGTGGAACTGA